TTTTTGAAAAGTAGTAAAACTAGAACTAATGGTGCAAAAAGAAGCTCGGGTTGCCTCCCGAGAAGTGCTATTTTTAACGTCGTGTGCCCGACGCAATTACAAAGCTCAAAAACTCAGTTAAAAATGCTCCTACCCAGAAAACTAGTTCTCCACTTATCAAACCTCCCGTCAACAAACGCCCTTAGATGGCGTAAAATTTTAAATTCATGAAACCTAATGTTCAACTCAGGGTCACAACTAAAGCATAACATTGGGTCAAAGCCGTTATTAGGACCTTCGTCTAAGAAAGGGTCAAAAACAGATTCTTTAAGAGGTGGAGGATTTACTCCCTCCTCTCCTAGTGGTTCCATGACATCTAGAAAATAACACTCATTTATGGATTGGCAGAACTGTTTTGCCAATTTGGCCATGCAAAAAGTTACTATCTTCGCACCAACTCTCAAAATTAGTTTCCTTCCCTAACATCTATGACGGCTCGAGCAGTGGCCAGAAAAAGCCTTCCAAATACTAAGGACACCTCAAGATGTTGGGGCATATCGAAGACAATGAAATCAACATGGACCACAAACTTGTCCACTTTAACCAACACTTTTTCAGCAATTCCCTGGGGATATTTGATTGATCGATCAACCAGTTGTATGCACATACGTGTTGATTTAAGTGGACCTAGTGCAAGCTTCTCATACAAGGAATAAGGCATCAAATTAATGCTTACACTCAAATCACTTAAGACCTTATTGAAAATCAAATCTCCTATGGAACAAGGGATAGTAAACTTACATGGATCCTTAAGTTTTTTGGGCATCTCCTTCAACACCACTGCCAAGCACCCCTTATTTAACACCACTGATGCTGGTTCCCCCCACTTCCTTTTTTCGCTAGAAGTTCTTTCATAAACTTGGCATAATTGGGCATTTGTAATAGTGTCTCCATGAATGGTAAGTTAATTTTAACGTGTTTAATGAGGTTCAAAAACTTATCAAACTGGTCGCTATCACTCTTTCTTTTCAAGCGTTCCAGGAAGGGGAGAGGTGGGCAATAGGCTTTGACTGGATCGGGCTATTTTGGGGCTGCCTCCATCTCTCTCTTCTCTTCTTCTTCCTTCTTCTTTGTCGGTGAAGCTTCTGTTGGTTCAACTTCTTTGGGCTTCTTCTTCTGTGCAACTGGCTCAAGCTCCCTTCCACTCCTTAGAGTGATGACATGAACATTCTCTCTTGAATTATTCTCAGTGTTACTAGGGAAAGATCCCATAGGCCTCTTAGATTGGGCCTTTGCCAGATGACCCACTTGATTCTCCAGGTTTTGAAAACTTGTTGGATTTGTTTTTGCATGAACATCCTCAACGTCTCTTCTAAACTGATGTGAGCTTACTGCCATTCAAACATCTTATGTTCTTGAGGCGGGACCTGATGTGTCTAGGGTTGCCCGATTTGATTGCAACTATTCCATTGTTGCTGATTCTCATGCCCATAATTCCCCCATTGTTGTTGGTTGTAATGCTGATTGTAATAGCCATGTATTTGAAAATTTATGGCATATGCTTGCTTCACTCCAGGGGCTTTCAAGGTTTTGGTCATCATATTACATTCATTTGGCCAATGAAGGCCCACACGTACTGCAAGATGGACTAATAGGTGCAGAGGCCACCATATTCACGCGAGGCACCAAGGGAGCAAGTTGCATCTTATTCAGATCCTCCACACTTGTGAGCTTTTGCATCATGATGGTTAATGTATCCACACGTGCAGAAAGTGCCGAACTCTCACAGATCTCGTATAGGCCTGGAGTTTGTTATTGGGCTGAACTCCATGAATCGTACTAGGAGGCATTGTTGGTCGTTATCTTCTCAATTAGTGCTTCTGCATCTCCATCTTGTAGACCAAGAAAAGATCCTATAACACTCCCAAATTTCCCACCCAAAAAATGATATATCTAAAAGAAATACTTTATTCATTCATCATAGTGTTGAAGAATTACAACGGAAGTTTAAAAGGGAATTGTGTTACCGCCACATACGGTCATCTCTCAACCGAATGCACAGGCAACCAAAAGAAAACAATAAAAACTAAATAAATAAATGTTTATTTCAAGACTAAATTTGACTAAGACATCTTCTAATTCGCTCTCAAGCTCGAGCAATCCATCAAATAACATAGGAATCCATATCCCCACTAGTTAAAATTTAAGGGAGTAATCCGAGATGTCGGTTTTCCACGTCTCTTAAAATGTGGAGAGTGGTTAGGGCTACTACTAAGAAGATATTTTTGAGTAACTTTCAGATCTATGATCCCTTTTAAGAAGGAGTGTAGTAGTAGTTCCGACGTAAAAGGGCTGCTACTGCTAAGGGTGGGGATAAGTTTGACTGGCATTTGGATCTATGATCCCTTTTAAGAAGCAGAGTTGTAGTAGTAGTCCCTAATCATTCAGAGATATCTTATTCAGGGGTAGTTGGGTTTCGACTACTCGTTACGACTTACTACTCGGAGGGCATGGAATCCCTTTTAGGGGGTGTTCACATTTAAGGTAGTCGTTTCGTTTCCGCAAGAGCGTTGTGGTACCGGCATTGACCGGGGTGGCCATCCGTAACCACGGACCACCGCGCTCAATCGAGAGGTTGAGCACCGCCCTTCTAAACTACTAGGAAGTTAGTGAAAAAGATATTTTTGAGATATTCAAAGAGAAGAGTTACTATTATATTTTCGAAGAAAAGTTGAGAATTTTAGTAAAGAAGTGATTTTGAGAAAAATTAAAGAGAAAATAATTTTGAGGGAGTGTGTCATTTTTATATAGTATTATATGAAAAACAATTTTAGTCAAACCTGATTATTTTACGGGGTTGGATAGTACTTACTTAGCTTTAAAGCTAACTTTTGTTATTTCTCTTGTCCCTCTTTGCTCCCTTAAATTTTAACAGGTAGGGATATGGATGCCTATGTTGATTGATGGATTGCTCGAGCTTGAGAGCGAATTAGAAGATGCCTTAGTCAAATTTAGTCTTGAAATAAACATTTATTTAGTTTTTATTGTTTTGTTTTGGTTGCCTGTGTATTCGGTTGAGAGATGACCGGATGTGGCGGTAACACCCATTTCCCTTTTAAACTTCCACTGTAATTCTTCAACACTATGATGAATGAATAAAGTATTTCTTTTAAATATATCATTGTTTTGGGTGGGAAATTTGGTGGTGTTATAGATCCATTTGCAGAATCATCCAACATCATCTTCCCTTTATTGTTAATGCCAATGTAGAAAAAGAGATGATCTCACAGTGACTCATCTTGCGTTGGGAACATGATCTTCTCAGCACCTTGAATCTATCCCATGCTTCAGAGAGAGACTCCAATGATCCTTGCTTGAACTCCTGCAATTGTTTCTTCAATTTTAATGCCTTTGATGTTGGAAATATTCCTTGTGAAGGCATTGTGCAGCTGGTCCCAAGTCTAGAGATGGTGATGTGGATTGTTGTCCAACCATCTATGCACATTGTCTCTTAGTGACAACGGGAGAAGTATCAATCTAACTTGGACATCAGCCACCCCAGGAATCTTGAAAGTCTGGCACAACCTGAGGAAACAAGTGATGTGTGCCACTAGGTCTTCAGTAGGTCCTCCTCCAAATTGGTTGTTTGAGATCATGCTAATCACCGTCAGATTGATCTCGTAGTGGTTAGCAGTGATACATGACACTTGTATGCTGTCATACTAAAAAAATTGGGGTTAGGTACTCTGATATCGTCTGCCCTTGATAGAGAGGGTTGTTCTGCGGGATATAGACTTGGAATGGAGGGGGCTACGGTTTGTTTGTGGGGCTGGTCTTGTTTGAGCAGGAGGTACTTGGTACTGGATTTGGACCGTATTTTGAAAAGGTGGCTGATTTTGGAATGAGTTTTGGAAATTTGGGTTTGGAATGTTCTGGTCTGCTCCTTGCAATCCAAAAGTTTGATTTTGCAAAGGAATTTCGGGAGAATTAGTGGTGTTGTGAAAGAGTTAAAATAAAGGAGGGAGATGTAATCTTCTGCCCAGGAACCGAAAGCCCTTAAGAACTAGTTCCTCTTCCACTAAGATCTCACCCTTCTTAGATATTTTCAAATTATTCAAAGAATAAATCCAATGTTGAACATAGAGCTTTATTTGATTAAGCAGATGTATAGAAGTGTGAGGGCAGTCACTCTTTCCCCAAATATGATTAGAATACACCTTCCAAACATTCCAGCAAATTATCCCAGATAAATTGTGTTTGAAAGTGTCCTCCATTATCTTAGTACCTGCCTTTATCCACTAATACATGAGAACTTGTCGAATAGTACTAATGGATTTGGGAATAGGGATGCCAAAGATGTTCATAAAATAGTTCCAAATAGAAAGAATAATACTACATTGATAGAACAGGTGGTCCATAGTATCCTCATGCTTCCTACACATAGGACAAATAGAAGGATTAATTACCAAATTGAACCTAATCAGATTTTTGGTGATTGGTAGAATGTTATGTAGAAGCTTCCACTGAAAAAGTTTCACTTTAGAACGTTGTTGCTTATTCCAACTGTGTTCATAAACAAATGAAGTATTTGAACCCTCTCTTATGAATTTATAAGTTGACTGAAATGAAAATTTCTCAGTGGTTTCTAATGCCCAACATAGGTTCCCAGAAGCATCAGTTGAGCACAAAGGCTTGGCAATTTGGCTGATAGCACATATCCTTTTCCAGATAGGTGAATCAGTGAGTTTTGGTATGTAATTATCTTCTCTTTGATCTATCATTCATAAAGTTGTTCCAAATAGAGCTGCCGGTTTTTCATTTCCACCATAATTTAAGTGTAAATGATTTTTCTAAGTCAGTTAGGGATCTAATTCCCACACCCCCTCATCAGTAGGAGCACAAAGATGAACAAAACTTTTCCAATGGTATTTCTGCTTAGAACAAGAAGAACCCCAAAAGAAATCAGACATTTTCTTTTCTAATATTCTTTTCACCTTTCTGGGCAGAGTATCAGTGGCAAGGGTATGTAAAGGAATAGAGTTCAGCACATGTTTGATTAAAACCAACCTACCTCCTTGAGATAAGTTTTTCTGCCTCCATGGCGTGAGCTTGTTTTCAAACTGTTTAATGATATCATTGTAGTACTTATATCTACTTATCCTTGTGTGTAGATTCACACCCAGATATTTCATGGGAAGAGTTGTAACCTTCATACCGAATGTATTTTTAATGCTGCTTCTCCTTCTTTCAGTTGCCTTCCCACAAATTATAGAGCTCTTATCCAGATTAACAATGTAACACCCCGGCCTCGCAGGACCCGAGGTAGTTACTCAAGACCTCTAGTACTGTCCTTACAAACCGCCATTAGCCTTTTTTGCGCACTTTGTCCTCACTCGTGCGTGCCCTGAGAAACTTCCCAAGGGGGTCACCCATCCCAAGAGTACTCCCGTGCAAGCACGCTTAACTTTGAAGTTCTTGGTTGATGAGCTCCCTTAAAAGGAGATACATCTTGTTGATATGAGTAGTACTATTAATCAATTTAAATTAAATATCAAGTGTTACAATGACCCCCATTTAGGAACGCAACGTCCTCGTTACGCCCATAAACCAATCTCAATCAAATCCCAGAATCTTTTCCCCCGCTAAGTGTCTGCCTGATATCTAACGGGTCAGCACACTGTCGCTGGGTTGCTCTGATACCACCTGTAACACCCCGGCCTCGCAGGACCCGAGGTTGTTACTCCAGACCTCTAGTACTGTCCTCACAAACTGCCACTAGCCTTTTCTGCGCACTTTGTCCTCACTCGTGCGTGCCCTGAGAAACTTCCTGGGGGGTCACCCATTCCAAGACTACTCCCATGCAAGCACACTTAACTTTGAAGTTCTTGGTTGATGAGCTCCCTTAAAAGGAGATGCATCTTGTTGGTATGAGTAGTACTATTAATCCATTTAAATTAAATCTCAAGTGTTACAAACAGTCTGCCCAGAAGCTGCCTGGTATACTTCAATAAACCCTTTGAGTTTGACTAAAGATCTAATCTCACCATTAAGGAACACCAACAAATCATCAGCAAACCCTAAGTGAGATATAGGGTAACCCTGCCTTCCCAGCCAATAGATAGGGTTTAATGATTCCATCCTCCATATGACAGTTTAGACATCTAGAGAACCCTTCAGAAGCAATAATGAACAAGAAAAGGGATAAAGGGTCCCCTTGTTTGACCCTCCTTAAAGGCTTAAAAAACCATGAGGTATACCATTAACCAGGATAGAAAGATAAGTGGATTTTAAGTTGTTCATAACAATATGGATAAAAAGCTCTGAAAAACCAAACTTACTAAGAACATCTGAAAGAAAACTCCAAGATACCTTATCAAAAGCTTTGGCCATGTCCAATTTGACTACCACATTAGATCCCCTTATTTTCATATCAATGGAATGAATCATTTCCTGAGCCACCAGGATTTGGTCTGCAATATCTCTACCCTTCATGAAACCCGCCTGCTCCTTGGAAATTATTTTAGGTAAAATATCATTAAGTCTAGAAGCTAAAACTTTATTGTATATTTTACTCACAAAATTGGACAAACAAATAGGCATGAATTCTGCAAACGATGATGGTTTGCCTTTCTTTGGAATAAGAATGATCCAAGAGCTTACCATCCCTTTGGGAATCGAAATACCCCAAAAGAACTTTTGGATTGCTTTAACCACATCAGTACAAACAATAGACCAGCATTTTTTGAAATAAATGCCATTAAAACCATCTGGCCCAGGAGCTCCCTTAGAATTAAGATCCCAAACTGCAGCTTTGACCTCTTCTTCTTCTGGCAATTTAGTCATCATATAATTGTCCTCTTCGCTAATAATCTTTGGTATATATTTCTGGATTTGTTCAAGAGATACAGTAGGTTCAACTGAATATAGATCCTTGAAGAAATGGATTGCTGCAGAAGCTATATCAGGTAAAGCATTTACCGGTTCACCTTCTGTGTTTTGGATGGAATTTATAGTATACATCTTCTTCCTCATTTTTGCATAAGAGTGAAAAAAGATAGTATTGGCATCACCCTCCTTAAGCCACTTAATGTTAGCCTTTTGCTTCCAAAACTTTCTTTCAATTTTGTATTTAGCCACCAGAAGAGATCTATAGTGAGACCATTTCTCTCTATTTTCTGGAGTGGGATCATTCTCAAAGTCTTTTTCTGCTTCTAAAACTTCAGATTCACAGGTCTTAATATCATCAAAGATATTCCCAAAACTTTCAAGATTCCAAATTTTGAGATCTCTTTTAAGATTTTGCAACTTCTTAACCAGGCCTCTCATACCTCCATCATAGTTCGGAGAATTCCAACTCTTCTTAACAACCTCCATAAAAGAAGAATGAGCTAGCCACATATTCTGGAATCTAAAGGCCTTAGGACCATTGAAAGCATTATTAAGACATTGAACTAAAATAGGAGAATGGTCAGAAGGTGTGTTTTTTAAATGTCTGATCTGAATATTATCAAAAAAACTCCAAGCATTTGTTGTTTACAAGGCACCTATATAACCTTCTCCACACTCTTCCATTGGATCTAACCCCTGTCCAAGTATATTTGCATCTTGTGTAGGAAAGATCAATGAGATTGCACCGAGAAATGCAATTGGAAAAATCCTGAACACTGGTAAGAACTGGAGTTCCTCTTCCTTGATGTTCATTAAAAGCAACAATAGTATTAAAATCACCCCCTACTAACCAAGGGTCTTTCATGTCCTGGAAGATAAAAGTAAGCAAAGTCCAGAGCTGTCTTCTGACAATGTAGGTATGACCACCATAAACAGCAGTAATCCACCCTGTAAAGTTACCTATTTTTACCATTAAATGAATATATTGCTCATGCCATGTAAGATTAGAAAGACTAACCGTACTGGAACCTAATATCCAAACCTTATTAACATCAGAGGACACCATTTCATTAAGGCCAAATTGATCTTTGAAACGAAGAGCTTTAGAGCTAGCTAAAATAGGTTCAATAACAATAAGAATATGAATTCTCCATTGTTTAATTAGGGGAAAAAGTCTGGAACTAGAGGATTCCTGATCCCTAACATTCCAAAAGAGGCAATTCATTTAGAACCAGGAATGGAAGCTTGAGAGAACCTTTGGCTATCCTTCTTCTTAGATGCCTCTGTCATGAGTCTCACTATAGAAAAAATCCTACGAAACACTAAACAAAAAAACAACCATGTCATGAGTCTCAATATCCCCAACGGGATCTGCCTCTGTCATAGATGCCTCTTTCTCAGGCGCAATTACAACTTCCTCTACCACAGGTGAAGCCTCCTCAGTCATACATGCAACCACCTCAGTGCCTTGAAGAATAGCTCCCTCAGTAACTTCCTCAATAGGCTCAAGTGTTGTTGTAGCCTTCGAAGTAGATGCAATGTCAGTGTTGATATGTAATGTTATTTTGTCTTTGTGTTTTTCTGCCCTTGTCAATTTATTTTTATACGCATCTTGAGAAGCCACTTGCTTAGGTGTCCACTTCTCCTTGTGTAAAGCAACTGCTTGTGTAGGCTCAGAAGGCCTCTTAGGACATTTTCCAGCCGAGACCCCCAAATGGAGGCATTTGGAGTAATATTCAAACCTATTTTCATATAAGATGGGTTGTATTTGAGGAGAGATATTAATATAAAAATGAGGATGTGTGGTGACGGTGGTGTTAATGGTGATGGGGACACTTGATTTCCCAATTGTACCAGATTAAAATGGTTCCATGTTTTTTTTACCTGAAAAGTTAGCAAAAAAATCCTACGACACACTAAACAAAAAAACAAATACAAAACTAGGGAAAAAATAAACTAGCTAGTCGCTGAAAATAAATAACCCTTAAAACCGACATCGTCCCTGGCAACGGCGCTAAAAACTGATGTGAGTTTTCTCGCACTAAAAATGATGTAGCAGTATAGGGCTAAAGTATGAGTATCGTCTCCACAAAGACAACAAAAGGGAATCAAGAATTAATTAAATTCAGCGATTAAAAATAAATAAAATGCAATTGTGAAAAATTTGGAATTGTGGAAATTAAACTAATGCAAATAAACGTTTAAATTAAAGGGTTCTTTCTAATTAATGATCGAAGGGAATAGAGATTGATTCCGAGGTAATCAGATTTCTGCCTGATCAGGCTTAATCACATGAAAATTATTTAATTGAACAACGCTAATCAATACTAACTTCTAACCGCTCTCGCGGCGTAGGGTACAATAATTTAGGGAACTAGGTTGATCTCTCATGCGACGGGTATCTAAATTATTGTCAAAACGAGTGAGCGTACGGCTCCCTAACCGTTACTAAACTCTTAGCGAACGATTAAGTGTGTGTGAAGGTATCCTATAATAAATTAGATCTCTCTTAATTTATTCTATGTGCCATTATAATCCTAGTGGCCCTTCCAGGTTACAAAAGATATCAATTAAATTATTCAAACACAAATTTAATAAAATTCATGCAATTAATCCATCATGAAATTAACCCTAGATCATGATTGACCCCTTCATCAATCTCAAATCCCTAATTAAGACTACTCACAATTCATAATTGATCAACAATAGAATTGGGATGAAAAGAATTAATTGTCATTAATTAAAAAGATGGAACTTACAAATAATCCAAGAGTCTTGAAAAAAAAAGCGGAAAAATAATGAAAAATTTGTCCTAGGCCTCTCTCTAAGATCTGTAACCAAATGATTGAAAGAACGTCATCGTGATCGTCGTTTTCAAGCTCTATTCGTCCCCGTTTGATCTCGTACTTGATCCTTGAGCTCTCTTGACTTCAAAATCACCCCTTTAATGAATCGTGGACCTTCAATGCTTCTCAATAACTCTCAAACTTGTCTCGAATCCTCCCGATTAATTCTCCAATGATGGTGTCGGGCTCAATTTTCTTATTTTAATTCTAAAAACACCAAATACAAACCAAAACCCGGTAAAATATGACTTGAGCTAATTATGAGCCTTATGACACATTTAAGCTATGAAAACCATCAAAAGCCGATCCAAACACACACCAAATGCGTGTTGAAATATGGACTTATCAATGTCATAATCCTTTGTCACAATTAGAATATCAAACAATCTCAAATTCTCAATACTTTTTTCCCATCTTCTCCAACAATCCTTTAAAATATTTTTAATTGTGGAAGCTTTAGCCTAAAAATGTTATTTTTCCCATGTTGGGGTAGGCAAAGGAGGAAGCATAGAAGTTGCTTTATTCTTATTCCTTGAAAGTCTGTTTTACTTTCTCCATCTTTGAAAAAGTTGATGGTAACAAAAAAAAACACCATTGCTATCGACCAAAGAGGGTGTTGGAAAATGTGTTAATAAATTTCATTAAATAGTCATTTTAGGGCAATTTTTTGAGTGGGATCCATTTCCGATTCGGGTCGGATCAAAGTGGTTTCGGATTGTCCTTGCTAAGGGCTACAATTCTATATGTGGTACACTCAAAACGGATAACGGGTGAATGAGAAATTGATTCTCGAAGTTCACTTGTTGAAATGGAGAAAACTAAGAAAGTGATAGGTTTCTAGTGTGTTTTATCCCACACCGGAAACCCCAAGGGATTTTCACCCCCTTATAAAGGGAACCTTCTTTGAAGGAGTTAAGATTCCTATGAGGAAAGGCTCTCCTCGCACGCATGGGGGTGCCGATCAAATCCCGAAAACGGAGAAGAAAAACAGCGACTTGCGTGCGCGGGGAACCTACGGACATGAATGTCGTCTGAAAATCTATCTTCTTAAAGATAAATGTTGGGGTAGGCGACAGGCGGCTGCTCTCCGAGCATGTGGCTCGCGGAGCAGGCTACTGCTCGACTCTGTTGCTGCCGTTACAAGACCTTAAATGCCCAACGGTCATGCAATTAAATGGACAGTTACAAACGAATCAATGTCCAACATCATTGATGTCCAATGATCATGTTCATAAAAAACGTCATTAACGCACAACAAACCTTCCCCTATAAAGATGTTTTTACTTGGATTGTAATTTGTTGGTCTAGTCTGGTCTGAACTGGTCTGGTCTGATTTCTTTGTATTTTTATAACTATCGTGGTCTGGTCTGGGAGGAATTACAGTTCAAGTAAAAACATCCTGAATTGGCTAGCATGTGGTTTGCAACAATAAGCTCACATACGTTCACATATGATTAGTCGCTTACATCCTAAATTTCTTTAGCTCTCAAAAATACCTCTAGCATTCCACAAAAATTCCTTGGTGTTCATACTTGTTCTCGTTCGCCGGAACAATTCGTTTGAGTGCTCAAACAATTGTTCGTAGTCATCGTAGCCCGGGAAACGATCGTTGCAACGCTCCTAGCACCCCGGGAGGCAACGAATACGTTTTAAGGACATTGTGCGTGGCACAAGCTTTGGCTAAATTCTGTTTAATCTGTTTTCTGTTTTTCTTTGGCTATTTTAATTAATTAATTATTTTTATTAATTAATATTTCTTCGTTTTTTCCGAGACACACCCAACAGAGAGCACTTGGAATAGCATGCATTTAATGTGCTAAACTACATCATCTGTGAGTACTAATTCTTATATTATCAAAATGCTGATTTTATCAACATTCAACCCTCATAAACTAAGCCGAACACCTTCAATTCGGACGTGTTCTGAATTTGGATATTAATTTTAAGTTCACTAGTGGATTTGAACAAGGCGGAAAAAGATAATGATGTCTTTTCTTTTTTAGTTCCCACACTCTAAGGAGACGTTTACTTCGCTGCTAAAGTCACAGTTAGATTAGTAAGACATGTGAAGTAAACACGTAAGTTTTTTAAAACGATGCTAACCGAAAGAGGTGCATAAAGTGTCGCTTACTACGCATAGCACCCAATGTATTAATTAAGCGACACTTTAAGCTTTTTCACTTTCCGAATTTACCCTTACCTTTACCCCTTGCCCTTACCCTATTACTACCCCACTTCCCGATCCTACCTTACCCCGACCCTAACCTCGACCCCCAACCCCAACCCCAACCTGACACCCGACCCCACCCCCACCCTTGACCTGACCATACCCAACCCCACCTTACCCCTACCCCGACCCTACCCTCCACCACCTGCCCTACCCCACCACCACCTTCACCCCTTACCCCTTTACCCCTACCACCTTCCCCTACCTTGACCCGACCCCGACCCTTACAAACTTCCCTACCCTGACCCTACCCCTATACACCATATCCCCTACCCCCACTTGTACCCCTTACCTCGATCCTACCCTTTTACCCCTACCACCTGCCCCTACCTCGACCCCACCCTTGACCTCACCCACTCCCATTACCATACCCCGACCCTACCCCTTTACCCCATATCACTTGCCCTTACCTCGACCCAACCCCTACGAGTAGGGTGGGGGGTACGGGTGGGAGTACGGGTGGAGGGTAAGGTCGTGGTAAGGGTAGGGGTAGGGAAGGGGTGTGGGTAAAGGATGTGGAATTGGGGGTAGGGTGAGGGGTGGGGGTACAGGGCGGGGTAGGGGTTAGGGGTGTGGGTAAGCGACTAATCATACGAGGTGAACTCACATATTATATTATATACTTGTGTTAATGAATGTTTGTGTGTGTATATGAGTATATCTATAGGGTTACTTTGGACATTTTAATGTTAAACGGTGTTTTTAATCATTTGAAGTAAACATGAGCTTACAACACTGCTTATTTTATGCGCCGATTACTAACGTGAGTCTTAAGAAGCACCGTTTACTAACCCGTGATGTAACACCATCCCCAAGTATATTTACTTTTAGTAAATCATGTAATACACCTTGAATAATGATTCGTGAATTTACGAGGTTGTAAATTTTTGTTATTACGTTCGCGTGAATAGTGAATTGCACGTGGGGTCCACATCGAGAGCGGGGACCACCCGATAAACTCGGGACCACATATTATATTCATCTTGGTCTAGATAATATGTATATGGTGGTAGATATTTTAGTTGGGCCATAGGAAGGGCATAGGGTTGACCCGTCGGTCAAACGAGGCCCAATTACCGGTATCGGTAATTTATCAGATAACAGCTCGGAACGGATTTCGGAGATGTCTAAATTAAAGTTGGTGAATGAATACTCATTCCAAAAGTCCATAATGATGGGAAACACATAGTATATTTTATTTGACCTGATAAAATAAAATATAATTTAAACAGTCCGAAAAACACAACTTTCGGGGCCGATTGTACAAATCGGGACACAAAGGGATGACCTCCCACACGAGTGGGGGCCACCCCACGTTTTTGTGTGCTCAAATTGTTCAGAGGAGGCTGGAGTTGACTAATAAATGTGTGGAGGAGTGGGCTTTGGCATCAAAGGTACCATGGAGGACCCCTCACCCCATTAATTTGCCATTTGAGACAAAACAAGCCACCCTCTCTCATCCTCAATCATCTAGCTCGCCCAACACATAATTTTAGAGAGGAGAAGCTCTGCAAGACACTCATCCTCCATAGCCAATTCGAACTCAAGCCATAGGAGTCCAAAAGGAAAGCTTGAAGAAGGAAAACGTTAGGAAAAGTGTGGAATATTAAGGTAATAACCTTTTAATAACTTTTCCTCTACTTTTCATTTATCATATGAGGAACCCCTAGGTTTGTTCTACATATTTAGAAATGTAGAATGAGGGGTTGGAAGGTAGTTCTAAGTCCAAGAATGGACTTAGAAGTCAAAACGACCGGTTCGCCGGAAAATAACCTTTTAGGGGTTATTTGTGTTGATATGGGTTTTGTAATGATAAAACCATGTTAGGAGCTTGACTAAAGTGGTTATAGTTTTCGCCGGAGTTTTGCCGGAGTTTCGCCGAAGTTCGCCGCAGTCTCGTCGGAGTTCAACTAAGAAGAGTAGAATCTTCCTAAAGCTCATTTGAGGTGAGTGGATGACTTAATGTCTTGTAACTTTTGGGTTAAGAATGAGATTACCTAAGTATATGTTATGTGTGTTCATAATAATGTTTAAATGAATTAAACATGTGATTAGCCAATTAAAGTGATTAGGCTTGTATGAAGTGAACTATTGAAATATGCATGACTTGTGGAGTGACAATACTCATAAAAACATATGTGATATGCTTAGAGATGGAATGTGCATAAAATCGTTATTTATAACTTAGTACATATTGTGACTAAGTTTGACACACATTGGATTTGGAATGGCGGGTCAACCGAGAGTTCACCGGCGCCGGTTTGGCCTTACTTTACCTATATGATGATTTTAATGCATGAGTTGCATAGATGATTTTGTTTAGGCCTTAAGACTTGGTCTAGTCTTGTTTATTGATTATGATATAGGCCATATCTAGTATGATATGTGGTAGATCATAAGTCGGGTGGAGTACCCAAGGATCGGGCGGTATCCTCAAAACTCGGTTATATAGGGTGGAGTGCCCAAGGATCGGGCGGTATCCTCAAAACTCGGTTATATAGGGTGGAGTACCCAAGGATCGGGCGGTATCCTCAAAACTCGGTTATATAGGGTGGAGTACCCAAGGATCGGACGTGTATCCTCAAAACTCATAGATTACTAGTTAGTAATTCAGGACCGGGCGGTGTTCTTATGACTATTTGATTTGGACAGGAGGAGTCCTATACACTCATAGGTCTATGGTTGGGTTGGAGTTTTAAGTTAAGGACATTGACTACTATTATTTTTCCCAATTAAACAATGACCTACGGGTCGGGTATTTCCAAGTGCATATAAGTACTGATATGTATTTTGTAACTTGGGGTAAGGAAGTATAAGTATATGTATCACCCTATGTTTGAGTCTTATACTTGAAACGTTAGTTACTCTACATTTAACTTGCTACTCGCTCGGTACTTGTACTGACCCCTTCAGGGGGGGCCCACCATTTCAGGTTGAAGCTAGAGCCTGTTGTCTACACCTTTGCACGAGTGGACCCCTTCAGGGGGGCCCACCTTGTCACAGGTGGAAGACGTGGTTCGTGCTTCCTTTATTATTTTAAATCATAAACTATGCTCATGGATACTTTTGTAATATTACATTGTTTTTGGCCTGCAAGCCTACGTTTTGCCATATGTGGCTTATGATTGACTGTTGAATATTTTCCGCTATTCATTCAATCTATGATGTGATGTTGTTATGTATGTTTACTACTGAGTATGGTGTGAACGATGTTCATGAACGCCTTGTGTGATTATGTGAGGTTGACTTGCGAGTGACGTCACTTAATCACACGACGGTTGTATACGCGCTTAGATGCGGTCTGGGGCGTGACACGTGAAGTAAACGTGTCCTAATTGAAACAAACAATCACCGGACTCCGAAAGTGATGGGTGGCAACTGGCAATGTGATGGAGGTGGATTGTCGAAGACTAGTGACCCCAAAAGATGGGTCATCCACGGGTTTGGACGTAAGAGTTACAGGCGACCATAAATAACACGGTTCAACATAGAACACACAATTTCATACTCCAGTTGTTCTCATGAATAATAGCATTATGCTACAAAAGATTAGGGTGGCATTACATAGTCTCACTCACTCACTTGAACCAAGTGGAGGGAACAACGCAGAATTGAATGCTCATCTCCAAGATCAAGCATTTAGCAGAACACGGAAACACCCTAATGAGTGAAATCTCCTAGTAAAGATCACTATCCTTATGGGTGTGAATCACACAATCTGAAGTCGGGTACGCAACACATGTCAACACGTACCCCGCTTCCATTTGGGCATCATCAAGGAAAGACCCGTCAGATTGGTCAACTTTCCCGGAGACGACCTTTCCTGCACAGGTGGAACATGCACCAGCCCTGCAAGAATAAGGCAAATCTATTCCTGCTTCCTCGGCCGCATCGAGGATGTAAGTATTATCAGGTGCATCTAAGGCAGTCTCTTTTCCATCTGGACCCACCAATCTGACTTTGTATGTAGCATTTGCTCTGAAACGGTCAGCTCTCATGCCGCCAAATGATATAGAGACTGTCCTTTGGAATGATCTTGGGGATGACGGGTTCTTGAAAAATGCAATCTTTGGTTGGCTGGGAGATGCAATTGTGAACTGCAATGGAAGTCTTGCTGTCGGCATAGTCACCTGAAAATATATGAATGCCATTCACTCATTCACTCTGCCTAATCATTGTAGATGCACCAGGCTCCAGCTCCGGGGCATGACTCAGGCCATTCACTCGAGGCCTCAGCCGAATATCCATAAAATCTCCATGTTATCCGTTTTTCCATGATAAAGAACATACATAATACATAACCTAGGCCCCTCAAGAGTTGGGCTTGATATTTAGTGGTATGTGCTAAATGTCTCATGATATGTTTAAGTCTTGTTGTTTAAAATCAAGTCTAGTTTGGTTTGAAGTAGTATGATACTATGTGTAATTGATTACGGAGTACTTTCAAACTTTCGTTTATTTTGGTCCGGTCTGTTCAAGTCTGCTTAAGTCAAAAGCACGCTATAGCGGTGTAGGGTGTAGCGGAGCAGAGTAGTGCTACTAGAACCTCCTTAAAGGAGCGTTTGAATTTCTTAGTTGGCCTTTAAATTTTTTAAAGGGGTAATAAACAGCCTATTTAGAGTAAAACGTAACCCCATTTTTTAGCAGCATCGTGGCTAAAAAAACTACACACCAAATCAGAAAATCTTTGAAGACAGCTAGAGACCATGCTTCTTCAACAAATTTCGACTACTACATTTCATCTTTTACTTTCAACTCTTCTTAGTCATCTGCCACTAGTCTTGAAGCTTGCCTGGTATGGAGCCTGCAGCCTTGTTAAAAGACGCATGGATTACCTTTATAACGATTATAAGTGGAGTAGTTAGAAAGATTCTAATATGAATGTCATGAAGTTTGAGATTTTGATTAGTTTTTGTCATTTTATGCATTTGATGTGTATCATATGTGATTATATTTATACAAATAATCTTGTACTGTGTTTTTTATTTTTATCCAAATAGCAGTCATCCCGCTATCCACTATCCGCTTTCTGCTATATAGCTATAGCGTTTTCACTTTTCAGGGTTGACCGTTCTGCTCCGCTATCGGGGAGTGATAACACTGGGTTGGGTCTTATTTCTTCTGGTCTGATGCGGTCAGGATTCAAAACAAGTCAAGTGAGTGGGCGTTCCCTAAGAAAATGCAAGATTAGAATAAGAGCTTTTTATGCTTTTCCTGAACAACAATACCATGACATAAATTTAGGACTGCATTAGTTTCCTTTTTATTGTTTAGTTAGTTTTCTAGTTTCAAGCCTTGTGAAGTGGATCGCTTACTAGGTTTCTACCTTAAAACATTCAGTGCATCAAATATACATTTATAATTAACTGGTATACCATACATACTTAAATCTTTTGTCCCCAAAAGTGTTAGTTTTGCTGTTGATAATAAAATGTTTTATGTGTTTATGTGTAAAATAGATGTGTAGGCAAATATTGCATTGCTCAATGTATAATTTGTTTTCCCAAAAATTATGTTGCTCTGTGTATAATATAATTCTTAATTCACAAAACACAGAGCAAATAAAGCTGATTTAGATAAAAAAGACATTTTTGTTTGGCAGTCTAGTTATTATTACTATTATTATGATTTCCAAGAGATTTCATTTCCGGGACATATATCCTGTGTTTGGCATTGGAGTTTTTTAAGCTTTAATTGAATTCGTTGAGCACATAACAAGGCATTAACTGTTCAAATGCAATGAACATCCCACACAGCATTCAAACAGAGATTGAGATCTAAGCTAGCACACGAAAGATTAGACGATGAAGAACCATAATTTTCCCCCTCAATCACTAGAATGATAAAATACAATTACCATTCTCGAGTCTACAACACCAAATTATACAAATTCAAAAAAGGGTCGCATGCAGCATGCCTATTCGATCAAAAATACAATCTTTAATCATGACAGGCATAAAAATCACAAATCACAAAATCCCAAGAGCTTAGAACCAGCAGAGGTGCAAGGTAGAATCATAATCAATGAATCAAATAAACTGCTAAAGTTAGCATAAATCGTTGGTGAAGGTGAGTGAGTAAAAATAAAAATCTTACCCAAAGTTGGATTCTATCTGGGAATCAAAGACAGGAGTTCGGGGATGGGGAAATGAGGCGTGAGCGGAGAAGTCGAAGCACGGTCAAATGCTTAGTCTCAGCAGAGATTTAAAGAAGGGGGTGGCCAAAGTGATCTATGGGCTCTGACTTTTGGGTTTTGCTTAGCCTCCGAGTTCAGTCTGTGTGCTGGGAGTGTGTTTGGGACGCAAATGATAATCCAGTTGTCCGGGCTTAGGCACCCATCTTTCCGGAGTCTTTGAACTACCCTCCAAAGCCTCTAGACATTTAAATTCGGATCTGATCACAGTCAACCTCGTCATTATTGGCTCCAAAGGACGAATCCAGCACAACTTACATCACCTTTCAGGCTGCTTCTCCCACCACACGAACCCGCTACCTCCATTACCATGCTCTCCCTCCTCAGCCGCTGAGCAACTCCGTGAAGGTAGGAAGAATCATTGGAAACAAGACCTCCTCATCTGATGGGAATTGAACCGAAGACCTCCCACAAAGGAGAGACTTGGGGGTGGATGGTCATCCAATAGACTACACTCACCTTCCCGATTCATGACATTTCTAGTAGAAGCGGAAGTGTTCGTTCAGTTTGGTCAAACGATAAGTTCACACGTGCCCAGTAACCTAGGTCATTAATTAGGAAAATTACATTTATGTACAAATTTTGGATACAACAAGAATTACTCAATCAATTATCGGCTGTTTGGTGATAACATTTTTTGGCTTATCAATCTTATCAACAAACTTTTTTATTAAATGCACAGCTTTTGATTTCACGTGTTAGACTGTATAACAATCAAAATAAGTAAAGTTGAAATTTTATTCTGGCTGATTTAGCTGAAGTTATTGTAGAGATCATTTTACCTAGTTTCCATATAATTTTTCTCTCGAGACAATTGCCTAAATAGGAGTAAAAACGTAAAAGTGAAATAATAGGGGCATAAACTTTCCCTGTAACGTAATTCTTTTTTAAATAGGGTCTCCCATTTAATTAAAAAGGCTCTTATTATTACCGATTCAATGAGATTGCCTTATTTTCGTTATACTAATGGTTAATTGTCTTTTTTCTTGTTTACTTATTTTTTTGGTCAGGTATAGCCGCCCCAAAAAAATCTCTCTTTTACACTTATCATGTATTTTGTGAAGGTATATATGCCTTCACGGAGGAGGTTTTGGCCTGGTCTCCATTTTTTTGTATTCTTTAATTATTTTAATAAAATCCGATAAATGTTTCCGGCATTTACCCTACTGTTGGGTGGTTTACCTACCGGTTTAAAAAAATGGGCATAAAGTTTCATTTCTTAAAAAAAGACTAATTTTTCCTATTATACCTTTTCCCTTGTCATGCTTGGTGGGGATTTTTAAATGATACTACATACTACGTAACAATAAAACATAAATCATACAAAAATAAAAATCGTAAAGAAAATATATACAAGCCTCAACCTCCGATCGTCGAAAAAAAAACCTACTAGCAAAAAAAACATAATGATGTCAATTTTGAAAAGAAAACTTGATATTTTCAAAAAGTAAAAATGTCATCTTCATGACATTTTGAGAGGAATATGACATCTTTTACACAAGATGATGTTTTCTCGGTGATCGAAGCTAGTGGAGCTAGAAAGGGGAGACGGCAAAAGCCTACATATTTTTTAGGTATTTTATTTGATTTTTTATGATTTTTTAAAGTTTTAATTATTTTTTCAGTTTTTTATTTTATTTTATTTTATCACGCTTTTATTATTAATTTATAAATATTTTTATTATTTTATATTTTTATTATCAATGAAACTATGATTTTGTTAGTAATAAAATAAATGTATTAGAGATTATAGCAAGGAGGTAGAATAGGAAGATGAGACCTATATTACTTAGACTTGGACTCGGGCCGGTTCGGGCACGGGCCGGCGGTTTGTGAATGGTGGGCCCGGGACCGGCCCGCGGTAAATGCGGTTCCGGTTCGGGCCGGGCCACCCGCCCGGGTCACGGGTCAGGCCACCCGCCGGGCTGGGCCGGTTAAATACATTTTTTTTGTATAATTTATATTTTATAGTTTTATAAAAATGTGTATAAAAATATTAGAAAATGTGAAGATTGGAGAAGATGTGTATAAAAATGTTAGAAAATAGGAGTATTTATAGAAATTTTTGAAACATATAAAAAAACAATCGGAATAGGAGTTTACAAGTTACAAATTTACAATTGAAGGTAAAATTAAAACATGAAATGGTGAAATACTAATCAATCGGAATCTGCGTAATAGGTAGAGTCACCCTCGATTGTAGATTCATCCATAAAGTGTTGGGATGAGGTGATGTCAATTTCTTGAGCTCTACGGGCCGCCTTCAACCGATCGTGGTAGCATATAAGCATCTCAAGAGATTCTGCGTTCAACCTCGTTCTACATTGCGTTAGGACATTGTCGGGCGAACTAAATTCTTGTTCGATGGCAACTGTTGAAACCGGCATTGATATCACTTGCTTAGCCATCGTTGCTAAAACCGGGAACATTCTTTCTTTTTCTTCCACCAGTTTGGAACGTCAAAGTCATCATCTTCTTCAAAATCAACATCATATGTTAAATACAAAGAAATCTCATTAATTGTGCTTTGTTGAGTAGCGGGTGTTGTTTTAGTTTTTTAATAAGACTGGCAAATGTAGATTTCAAAATTGATTTTCATTTAGATGAAGAGGCTTGTGTCGGGGGAGGGGGCGCGTTGTCATATTGTGCATGAAACTCATTAAATAATGCATAAAATATATCACTAACCTCGATGTATTCTTTTTTCGGATCAATTGGGTTGTCGTCATACATTGACATTGGACCAAAAAAAGCAACATAATAATAATTCAAACATTCTTCTAAAGAACCAAGTCTAAAACGAGGACCGAGAACAAATGCAATACCATAAATATGCGGAATATGTGAATAATATTTTAAAAACTTTTCCTTCATAAAACTAGCAAAATAACTCACATAATCGGCATTTTCAAAATTTGAAAAAGCACCGGCGAGATTAACAGCTTCACGAATAAATTGGTTTGAGATAGGTTTATAAACATGACTAAAAGTTTCAGTTGCATTATTAAAATATACCAAAGCAATACAAATTTTTTCGCAGGTGTCGATCTCAGTTGAGTTTATAATATAGGTATCATATTGTTTCATAAAAGCAGGAAAATGTTGTTTATATATAAGAAGAACTGTAATTAACTTATAAGTACTATTCCAACGAATAGACAAATCTTTAGGAAAAGTCACATATTTTTCACCTCTTTCAATCAAATAATCATGCCATTTTTTTTCCTAAGTTGACCATTACCCCAAATACGTCTAATCCCCCCTTGACTACCTCCAAAGATGCTCCTAACGCTTTTAGATCATCTTGCACACATAAATTAATAACATGACATGCACACCGTTGATGAAAAAATCTACTCATCAAAGAAGTAGAACCACACAATTCACACAATATAGGAATAGCAGCAGTATTATTAGTAGCATTATCAAAACCAATAGCAAACACCTTATCAATTAAATTATACTCAATTAAAATACGCTCAATCAAAATATAAATATGTTCAGCGGTGTGACGATCATTAAATTCATGAAAAGCAAGAACATGTTTATGCATATTCCAATCATTATCAATATAATGTACAGTCAAACCCAAATAATATAAATTATGATAAGTATCCTCTCATATGTCAGAACATACGGTAACATGCTCATCAAAGTTTGCAAAATAATTTTGTAACCTTACCTTTTCCGCACCATAAAGCCTTGAAATTTCTTTCTTAACCATTTTGCGACTATAACCTCTATATTGAGGATTTAAACAAGTTTGTCCATAATCACGAAAAGCAAGTGATAGAGTATATCTAGAGAGAAGTGAGAGCTAGAGAGAGAAGTGCAATATATGCTTCAATAGAATGATTTTGTAACCCCTATAGCTACTCCCAAGGGGAATATTTATAGAGAAAATTAGGGCTGGGCTCCCAAGTCTTGGGCTTGGGAGGCCCATTTACAACTGGACCGCTACTGGGCCGAATACCAAGCCACTAATGGGCTGTACAAATGAGTAAATGTAGAATCCGGTTCTGGGAGGTCTTCGTGGCCGACGAGGGCGTGGCCGACGAGGGCACGGCCGACGAGGGCGCGGCCGACGAGGGCACGGCCGACGAGGGCGCGGCCGACGAGGGCACCCGGGTTCCTTGGGCTCAGGACCATAATCTGAGTTGGCCCCTTTTCGGTCGACGGGGGCGTCTTGGCCGACGAGGGCGCCACTTTGTTGTCTTGTGCTTTCTGTTCTTCCGAGTATGTGGGTCCGGGGGCTCAGACCCATATACTCCATCAGGAGTCCCCCACTCTCTAAGCTGAGACGTAGACGAAGTGAAGGAGAGTAGATTCCTATGCTTTGTTGCCCTTGGCCGTTACCTGTTCCTTGTTGTGGACAGGGAGGCCGTTGTTTACTTGATGTCTTCGTTTTGGGACGATGAGTGTCCTTCTTTCAATGGTGGCCGTTGAAAGGCACGTTTTGCTTGGGCGTTGATGGTTGAAGTTTGTGTTTGGGCCGATGAGGCCACTGAAGTTGTTCCTTGCTTTGAGGACGATGGCGTCCTTTCCTTTGGGTGGCCGATGAGGGTGCTCGCGCACTCCTTTTGGCCGTTGCTGATGACGTTGTGTGCCTTTGGCCGACGAGGCGCAGTGTGATACATGGCCGGTGTGGCCATGCTTTGTGGTTACCTTTTTTGCATTTTCCCTTTGTTTTGTTGAGGCCGGTGTAGTCCCCCAGTCCCCCACTGCTTCAGGCCGAAGAGTGTGAGGGGTGAAGGAGTTGCTTGAGTCCCTGGCCGAAGCGGTCTCTCCGTAGTCCCCCTGAATCCAACCCTCATGGCGATTTTCTGGCCAAGGTAACCCTGTGGGAGAACCCTTGTGCGCAGATCGCTTGTAGAGAGTTATCATCAAGGGTCATGACGAGGAGCCGATGGCTTGTGGGCTCTTGTTTCCTTTGGTCCTGTGGCCGTTACGTTCCTGGCCGTTGCCGCCTCCTTTTTGTTTGGCAGTTGTGATCTTGGCGAGCAAGTGGGACGTTGTGGGCGCTTGCTCGCATTTGTAAAGCCGGTAAGCGTGTAGGCCGTAAAGTTTGATCCGGCATTGGGCTCTTGATATGTAGATTGGCCCG